ATGCTGTTGTTCAACCACAAGAAATAAAATCCTTTCTAAAATAAGAAATTTTAGATGACAAAAACTCCTTTTAACATGGAAAATATTCTTTCTTGTGTGCCATCATGTGTAGTTAGGACACGTGTATGCTCAATAGAGAGGCGTGCTTGCTCCTGTTGGTGTCATCAATCTGGCAACCTGGATTTGCGAGAAGTCATCAGAGGAGGGGCCAAGTGAAAAAGTGTTTTGAATTAGGAGTGCAATTCCAAGATTGACCACTATGTGTCAATCTTACATACTGCACCTTTAGGAATTAGGCAACTCAGACTTTAGGCAACTCATTGACATAGAATCATATGATTTTCATAATACAGAAAGCATGATCAAATAAACTATACAAAATAAAATTTGGGATTTAAAAATGATCAAAAGTGCTATAAAATTGTGCCGAGTACAAGAACCTGCCTGAATGAAACTATTATATGTTCAGCATATGTGAATGCAGAATGCACTTTGGTTTATTACACACATATTCAAGCATACATCACAACTCTGTTAAAGGCTGCTGATAGTGCATAGCATAGAAAGGAAACAAAACATGTTTTATCTCTTCCTCAATACAGGTATACTTAGTGAGGACGAAATGTACCATATGTACGTCTATGCATGTGTATTGAAATTGATGTTTCTATTTAAAGCTGACACCCTGTGTTGCAGAATGTCATTACAGATAACCCACCAAAGCAAGAACCTTTACATCCACAAAGCCCATGAGGAAGAAACAGCGAAAAAAATATGTTATCAAAGTTGTGAGATTCCCTCTATATAGAGCCTAACAGTAAAAGGAGCATAACAAGCTCGATCTAAGTACCACAGCCTAGAAAGACAGCCTGCACTGATGTGAAGCCAGCTACATTAATCCAAGTCCCATTAGAGGAGCCTTACCATTACAGCAACCTTAAAAGCAAGCACTACTCCTACCAGCACCCCACATTCGGATGAGGGTGGTTTCAGTTTCAAGCTTCTGCCTCTCTATATCTGCTGAGGTAACCAAACCCGAGAGGAGTGATAAAATATTCATTAGAAAACAGAGAGGGATGTGTTCTTCTTAGATAAAGCAAACAAATGAGGCACAGAGGGCGCAAAAGACAAATGAATCCATCTAATCCAATATGAGAAAGCAGAAGGTGAGTTGTCACAACACCAATCTTTCAGTATTCTGTATTGTGATATAAAAAATATATATATACTAAATAAACAAATGAATATATATACAGTTGGAGTCAGAATTATTAGCAGGTTTGTTCTGTAGACTGTCGGAAAAAAAAGTTAGCTTAAAGGGGCTAATAATTTTGTCCCTAAAATGGTGTTTGAAAAAATTTAAAACTGCTTTTATTTTAGTCAAAATAAAACAAATAAGACTTCCATCGGAAGAAAAAATATTATCAGACATACTGTGAAAATTTCCTTGCTTTGTTAAACATCGTTTGGGAAACATTAAAAAATAAAAATCTACAGGGGGCTAATAATTCTGACTTCAACTGTGTGTGTGTGTGTGTATGTATGTATTTTTGTATATATGTATGTGTGTGTGTGTGTATGTATGCATGTATGTATGTATATATATATATATATATATGTTGTATGTTGTAGAGAGCTGTGATAACAATATTTATACTATATACTACACCTATTACAATAATATACTATACCTAACCTAAAAGAACACAATTTTACTAGCAATGTAAACATATATTTATGTTGTGATCAAACTAAAATAAAAAGGTAATAGATATTTTTCTGAGATAATTAAATCAAAAAATAAAAAACATTAAGACTTTAAAATACCACAAATTACTAAAAACCTCAGCGTAATAATTCTGATTCACATTAGCTGTTGCATTTCCCTCTCCTGTCTCCCAGCATTAGTATTTCTTTTCAGCTTTAAGTTCACCTAACAGAACCTATTGTAAAAGCGGAGATAAAGATAGTAAAGGCCTTATCTGATTGGTCAGATTTGAATAAACAACATAACGACATGCAGCACACAATTGCTTGGCACATCAAATTAATTTAATGTATTGTTCTTTTATAATATTTTTTTCAACATATCTTTCAGCCCTAATATATTTATTTATTTTATTTTTTCAATAACAATTGAACAAATAGCTAATGCCATTTACCTTTTTCGGAATGCATTTAGTCAATTCACGTGTCTAGCAGGACCATTTTAGCTAAGCATCATTGAACTGAAATAGACCATCAGAATCTCACTAAAAAATGAATTCAATTTTTTTTTTTTTTTATTTCACTCTTCTATAGTCAGGAGTAAAAACATATTAAATGTGCTATTTTCACATGCTTTAGATCAGCAGCAATACAGATCCATTGATTACTGTGAAGTGATGCAACAGCTGTGTAATTACAGAATGATTCTCATTGATTTCACAATCACAAGGATTAAATCTTCCAGTGATATTTTGAGTAGCTTGTCAATGAACCATGGTTCCATTTAGGGGTGCGCGATATGACCTACACTGTAAAATTATTATCATGGTATTTTTTTTATCTTTTAAATGGTGACGGTATAATATCATGGTATAATAAGCTTTTTTTTTTTTTTTTTTGTACATTTTGGGAGGAATAGCCTGTCCTGTCTCTTTAGTATGTGAATAAAGTTAATATCTTTATCAAAGAGCGACATGGGAGAGTATTCAACATATTTATTTAGCAAAAAACCTAAAGAACACCAAAAAGAATTTAGGTGCACCAGAAAAAAAATTGGGAGCACCCACCAAAAATGAATGAGCACCATTGCAAATTGTATTTTAAGGGATTTATTGTATTTTAAAACAACATCAATTAGGATAAACTAAAAACAGAAACAACTATCTAACTAATGCTGAGATGACATTGATATTTGTGTGCAATAATTCCAAACTGAATGTCTAATAATTATAGAATATTAATGATGATGAAAATGACAATAATTGTAACAATGAATTACATTTCTCATTATCATGCTGCCTTGAATGTGCTTGAATGCGAGTGATCTGCTATAAAAAGTCTGTTACCTTATGAAAAATAAATGTATGGTTTGCATCAAACAAAAATGAAGCATTGCAGTAAGACATTTATTTTGAACTATTGATTTTATATGCATATAAATTTAATAAATAATATTTCTGCTACAAAAAAAAATTAAAGATAATAAATCATTCAATTTAATGCTGAAAGCTGCAAAACAGTCATCAGTAACTAAATAGCAAAATAATATAGAAAGAATGACAAAAGAAAGTAATAAAAGTCTCACTTCTATCACTCTTTAAAGGTTTTGTTTTCGGTTTGTGTCATTTTAAATGCTCAGTCTCGTTATGAGCTTTCATTTTTCTGTGTTTGTGGAATAAAGCAGGCGAGTCAGCCGACCCAATATATGAGCAGGCAGAGCAGGATTCTCGCCGGCGCAATACCGCTTTTTGTAATGAACCTCAGTTTCAGTGTAAACTTAGTAAAGGCGAGCTTCTTAAGCGATAAAGTGTACAGTAGTATTAGATTCTACATTTAGCGAACATTTGCGCTGAACACGCAGTGAATGCAACGCATTGAGATTCGGGCGCTTTCTCCGAAAACTCAAGTTCTCCGAGACTCGATTGGTCTCAGCTGGCGGATCAATATTCACCACATGTCATGATCGCTCTCATCTGCGCCTTTATTATTATTATTATTATAACTAGGGGAGGTTTGCAAACCTGTGTACTTTTCACTCTTCAGCCGCTTGCATTCCCGGCAGTCACAAAAGCTCCCTGTCATCTGACAGTGGAAAGCCAGTGATTGACAGCTAATATGAACCAATATAGTGGCAGGGAAGAGCGATTTAGCACGTTTTTAGAAAAAAAATCAAAACAGGTCGCGCTACAACCATTAAATGCAGTCGCACAAATGCTCCCAATTATATTATGAGGTCGCAAAGCTTAAATTTCGGGTGCAAATAATTGATTTATTATGTTATTGACGGTATTAGAAAATCCATGTTGTGGCGCATTGTCAAAACAGTAATGACTATGACACCGCCCACGGCCCACCCCAAGTTCCGTGTACCAAACGCACCTAGATCTGTCAGCAGAAGATTTACAGTTGATTACAGAGCTGGTATTACATCAAAAAAGTGCATGAATATCGCCTTTGATTAGTCACCCAGCCCAAGAAATCAGTATTTCTTTTGACAACACTAGTATACTACTTTTTAGGAAGCTAGGAATGTGCTGACAGTGCAGTAGAGGTTAAAGAATTGGGAATGTCAATTAAATAGGGTCTCGGTTCCAACTAGAAACGTCAAAACATATATTTTGAATATTAATTTAATTTATTTTAAAAAGGCACATTCAAATGCAAAAACCTGCATTAAAATTTTTGGTACAGTATGTCAATAAGTCATCATGTCAATAGAGACATGATGATGCAACAGACACAATTTGTTTTAGTTAATATATGCTGCATTCCAGACAACTCGAAATCGGGAGTTATTTATAAAATAGAATGAAAAGAAAATGCTAGCTGTCAGATACAAATACAGAAAAACATAGCATAAGAATGGACCAATTGACTTGCAATAAAAAGAACTGTCCAGAAATTATTAAACAATAAAACAAAAATGCTTGTGTCCTCTTGTGAGCTAAAGACAATAGTACAGTTTACTTTAATTGCCTTTAGAAATTTAATATAATTCCACCTTTGCTTGCATTTATGAAAGAAATTCAAATTAATTGAGGTTTTTAGACATAGTGACACTACTACAAATCACAACCCATACAGACAGGTGAGAGCAAGCCAGTCACCTGTTCTAGTATCCATGGTAATAGGGGCAGGTCACATGCTTGTATGTTAAGCCCTCACCTCCGGTTATACCAGGTGCTGTCCTACACTGTAAAAAATTCCTGTAAATTTACGGTGAAAATAAACAGCAAAATACTGTTTTAATGTAAAAACAGCAAGTTGCGTTTTTTTACAATGCATCTTGGGAAGACTTGCTCACTTCAGTTTGAGTGGTTGAGCAACAACAGTAAGGGCACTGTAATTTAACGGTTTTATACCATATTTTTTTCTGTGTACACAAGACGCCATTTTGGATTATCTACATGAGGTAAGTTTGCAGCTCCATATGTGACTAACTATCTGTAAAGTACCTGTTCGTTTTTAAAATCACATGTAAACATCCAATAAACACACAACTGCAACAATGATTTGACTGTGTGAATTTGAAAAGCAAGATTAGCATAAGGACTCGGTAACGTTAGTCCTCACATCTCCTGGAGCCTGGATGGATATTTTACCTGAACTTTTAGGAACAGTGCAAATGTTGAACGTTATGATTTGTGGTTACATGAACTGGTACATTGCCCTGCATTTGATGACAGATTTGAACTGCGTGCCTCTGTTTGAAACTCCAAGGTACTTACAAGAAAGGATAATTGGATAATTTGGATATTTTCGACGAGGTAAGAAGCTATATCTGTAAACGTACTATCTTTAAATTACTTATTAAATTTAAATATCATGCCATAAACATCCAATCAACACATAACCAAAGCACCTGTTTTTGCAGGATCCGACCGTGTGAATGTCTTGAGAAGAGAAAGGGGGTAACTTTAGCCTAATTTAGCAAGCTAACGATAGCTGGAGGACTCATTTTCACATCACACACAGGTAAGAATGTTAAACCTAGATTTTACATGAACTTTGAGTGAAGATCGTACAGAATCTTCTTTTTTTCATGTGGTTACATGTGTAACTTGCATATTTAGTCCAATTTATTACAGATACACCTTTTCATTTGCAACTCCAGTGCTTCTAAAAATAACATTTTAAGATCGAGTGAGACCTTTGTTATTTTTACGTTATTGCAGTTGGTTTATATAGAAATTGACTAGAGTTATGATCAGATTTTATGCTTGGTAACGTTACCTAAAGTAGCAGAGCTTTTAATCTTTTTTTGTGAGTAAGGAGTAACTGCTATTATAATGAAAATTCTTTACAATTCGTTTTTGACCAATAGATGTCTGCGACCACTGCTAATCTTGAAAAGATGGGTAACCTGCCTGTGACTCCTCATTTGATTCTGCCTAGTAAGTATTTTGTGAGTAAGATAGGGAAAAAATCTAATTTGTGTCCCGCTATAGACTTTGCTGGTTTGTATTTGACGAAATAGATTCATTCATTTTTACTTCATTAAAGCAAAGTCTCATTTAGTTAGAAATGTATGTATTTGTTTTGATCTGATACCCAAAGAAATAAACTTGCCTTTTAGAAGCCTAGTTATCCTTTATTATTACTATTGACATACTATTGTCAATGTTTTAACACATGCTTAAGACATTCTGTCACTTTTCATTATCTTTGAATCTCAGATTACCTGGTTTGATTTCATGTAGTTGCTTATTATAGTTATTTAAGTATTTATTTTAATTTTGAAAAATTATATTGTATGGCTTTATCACGTCTTGCATAATTTTATCATGGCCCTTTCTACACCAAGCCTTTCAAAACAAATGATAAATCACAGAATTAATCTCCAGAATAATTCCTAAATAATACTTTAATCAACCAATTTATTAAAGGTTCAGATGATACTTTGGGCCAGTGGATAAAACAATGGATGATCAGCATGGATGGCAGAGTAATCTGTGAGGGTGAGCATGCACACTGGAATTCCTTCAAAGGTAATATGTTTGCACTTACATATTTTTAGTTTAATTTAGCATGAGGACTTCATGGAATAGAATATTGTTATGTCCAACTTGTCATATGTGTGTTTGTGTGTATACACTACAAGTGAAAAGTTTGGAATCAGAAATATATATATATATATATATATATTATATATATATATATATATATATATATATATATGTTCTATACATTATATTATATAATAAGCTTCTTGTGCTCACAAAGGCTAAACAATACTGTAATAGAAACAAGGACAAATACAGCAAAAACTGTGATATAGTGAAATGTCAGTTAAATAGTATATATTTATCATAAACTAATTAAATCATGTACTGGTATTTTATTGTATTTAGTTTAAAATGTGATTCTTGTATTTTAAAGTTAAATTTTGATCATCATTAAAAATACTAGTCCTCAGTGTCACATAATTCTCATGGTGCTTAATATAACCATCTGCTAAGAATAAACATTTATTGTTGTTGTCATAACTTTGCTAAACAATACAATACACATTATTCATTCATTTTCTTTTCGGCTTAGTCCCTTTATTATTCCAGGGTTGCCACAGCTTAATGAACCGCCAACTTATCCAGCACATGTTTTATGCAGTGGATGCCCTTCCAGCTGCAATCCATCTCTGGGAAACATCCATACACACCCATTCACACACATACACTACGAACAATATAGCCTACCCAATTCACCTGTACCACATCTTTAGACTTGTGAGGGAAACCAGAGCACCAGGAAGAAACCCACGCGAACACGGGGAGAACATGCAAACTCCGCACAGAAATGCAACTGACCTAGCCAAGTCTCGAACCAGTGACCTTCTTGCTGTGAGGTGACAGCACTACCTACTGCGCCACCACGTCAGTACACATTATACAATACTATTTCAAAGTACCATTGAAAATTAATTACTTTTACTCATCAAACTAAATTGTTCAAGCATGAAAGTAAATTAGACAACGCGGTGGCTCAGTAGGTAGTGCTGTCACCTCACAGCAAGAAGGTTGCTGGTTCAAGCCTCGACTGGGTCAGCATTTCCATGTGGAGTTTGCATGTTCTCCTTGTGTTCGCGTGGGCTTCCTCCGGGTGCTCCGGTTTTCCCCACAGTCCAAAGACATGCGATACAGGTGAATTGGGTAAGCTAAATTGTCTGTAGTGTATGAGTGTGAATGAGAGTGTATGGGTGTTTCCCAGTGATGGGTTGCAGCTGGAAGGGCATCCGCTGCGTAAGACATATGATGGATAAGTTGGTGGTTCATTCTGCTGTGGCGACCCCAGATTAATAAAGGGAAAAAGCCAAAAAGAAAATGAATGAAGGAATGAATAAAAGTAAATTAATTTTTTTATAATGCAAAAAAGATTTTCAAATAAAATGTACTTATTTTTTTTTTTTTTATCAAACAATCGTAAAAGAATGTATCAGTTTCCAAAATACTTTGAAGCTTTTTTTTTTTAGCACTGATCATTATAAGAATCAATATTAGTGGTTTTGTACCAATAATATAATGATTTCTTAAGAATCATGTGACACTAAATTAAATGTGAAACTAAGTTCAATAAGAAAAAAAATAAAAATTGAAAAATTTGAATTATTTAAATTGTGTAGTAACTAGGGATGTAAAAAAATTGTAAAGACCGTCATACCGCAATAGTAATTTTTCTCAATATTACCGTGGGCGCATGACTCAATAAAACTATATTTCTGAGAAAAGTTTGCTCAGGCGAATGAAGCGAACGGGAGGTAGCGGGAACTACAATTCCCATCAGCCCAGGCGTGGCCATCATCCTTTACGGTCTGTTGTCGCTACAAATCCAGTAATGCGGAAATGGAGTGTGGTGCTAGTAGCGGGGAAGAAAAAGAGCTGGAAATGATCGAACCTAAAGTGGGTTTCAAATCGGATGTTTGAAAGCATTTCGATTTCTCTCTAAAAAGATACAAGAAAGGAGAAAAGGTGACAGACAAAGAAAAAAACAGTATGCAGGCACTGCCAGACTGTTGTGAAATATAAGTCGGGGAATACAACTAATAACAGTCATGGGGACTGCAGAACACAGCACACCTGTTAGATTGATGCAGACATTGACTTGTACCGCAAAGAGACCTCTATCTCACTCATGGCTTGTCCTCTCAAGTGGGGGAAAGACAATGCACAACGTTACCCACTGCGGTCAACCTTGGCTTAATCATATCTCTCTGTCCCAGAAACCTCAGTCCCAAATGAGAGGGTTTTTTTCTGTTGCAGGGGACATGCCCAGAGATCCCAGCTTTTACCAGATTTTAGTTATATGATCATTTTCCTTAAAAAACCCATCTCTATCTAAGTGAGTGAGTGATTAAATGTTGAATGTGATGAGTTTTCAACAATACTAAATTGAAACTTTTTTTTATATATATATATAGTTTAATAGTTTTTTGTTATTAAAATTTAAAAATTGAAGTTCCTGTTTCGAAACTTACAGATAGATGGCTAATTTGTATGTCATTGATATGTTCAGTGCTAAGGTAAATAAACACTTTTGGGACTTTTTTAGAGTCTTTTAATTAGTTTTGTTTTTCCTGTAAATTATTCAATAAGTATGCCATTCATACCGAGGTATTATCTTACAGTGAAATTCTGATACTGTTACATCCCTAGTAGTAACACTTTAAAATTCAACATTTTTACTTTATTTTTGATCAAATAAATGCAGCCTTTGTGAGCAGAATAGCCTTTTTAAACATGACCTCTAAAAAATCTGTCCTTCAGATTAATATTTTGAATAGAATGCTTTACAATTATATATTTGTACATAAACATTAGATTAGTCAAAGCCAAAATTGGAGCTAATAAACTTAGTACACGCCAGTGAATATTTTGAATATTTTGATGAAAAAAAAAATATATCTTTAATAATAAACAGGAAAAAAATATTACTCTGTTTAATAAAACTGTTTTGTTTAAATGCACCAATATATATTTGTCTATATTCACTGAGGAATTTATACAAATATACATTTTTTAAAGGGGCTGTTCATTTATGCTGAACACTATATGTGGTGTGTGTGTGTGTGTGTGCGTGCGTGTGTGGTCAAAATTATTAGCCTCCTTGATTTTTTTTTTTTTCTTTTTTCAATATTTACATATTTATGTTTAACAGAGCAAAGACTATTTCACAGAATTTCTGATAATATTATTTCTTCTGGAGAATTTTTTTCTGATTTTTAGCTAGAATAAAAGTAGTTTTTATTAAAAAAAAAACATATTAAGGTCAATATTATTAGTCCCATAAAGCAAAACATATTTTTGATTGTTTACAGAACAAACCATCATTATACAATGACTTTAATTAACCTAATTAACCTAGTTAGGCCTTTATATGTCACCTTAAGCTAAACACTAGTATTTTAAGAAAATATAGGCAATTATTATCTGCTGTCATCATGGAAAAGATAAAAGAAATCAGTTATTAGTTTTTACAAATTAGTTATTAAAACTATGTTCAGAAATGTTGAACAAATCTTCTCTTTGTTAAACAGAAATTGGGGAAAAATATATATATTATATTATATACAGTTGAAGTCTGAATTATTTGCCCCCTGTTTATTTTTTTCCCCTTTTTCTGTTTAACGGAGATAATTTCTTCAACACATTTCTAATCATAATAGTTTTAATAACTCATTTCTAATAACTGATTTATTTTCTCTTTGTCATGATGACAGTAAATAATATTTGACGAGATATACTTCAAGACACTTCTATACAGCTTAAAGTGACATTTAAAGGCTTTACTGGGTTAATTAGGTTAACTAGGCTGATTAGGGTAATCAGGCAAGTCATTATATAGCAATGGTTTGTTTTGTAGACTATCTAAACATTATATAGCTTAAAGGGGCTAGTAATTTTGACCTTAAAATCAATATTTAAAAAAATTAAAACTATTTTTATTCTAGTCAAAATAAAACAAGGCTTTTTCCTGAAAAAAAAAATTATCAGATACTGTGAGCATTTCCTTGCTCTGTTAAACATCA